TTTCACTGCAGTGAAAAATAAATTTTTACAGTGAAAATACGGAAAATGAAAATAAGCATTTTATTTCATCAATATTTCTCAATATTTCATTTATAAGTATATAATAAAACGTATTCTTTGTTGATCGAATTGGTCGCGGACGGACGCGGATCACGGATCACGTAGCAATGGAATAGCGCACTTGCAGGAAAGTGGGTTAAGGGCAATGGATAGGAGGATAAAGCGGATGGTCAAATTGGAAATCAGGATGGAATTATTAACCGTTGATGAAATATTCTGAATAGAGGACAGAGACGCAACCCTTGTCAAAACATAAAAACAGTTGGCAAAACCTATTTAAAAAGAACGCAGAAGGACACCGTCTTGGACCGGCCAGAAGTGTAAATCACTACTATGGAGTTTAAACCGGTTAAAGGTATACAGAGCCTTACTCTTAGCCCCAAATATGGCAACAGCAAACAATATTCCTCATCATTATCATGTGCAACTTTGGTTAAACACAGTAAAAGAATCTTCTTTTTTTTTTCTTAAAGATATATGTTTTGTACTGAACTTTATACTCTGTTCCGTCTACCACTGAACAGCTGTCAATAAATGTATTTTACATTCCTATGTAGGGCAATGATATTTTGCCTTCCGCAGTTTGCGCCTGCGCGAGAAAATACTTCAACCGGTCAATTTTGCATAGCAACTGGCTTCGTCGTAAAATGGTGTTTACTTTCAGACATTTATAGAAATATATAGATTTCTTTAAGACATGTTGTTCATGAATTATATCAAACAAGGAAGTTCTGGGTTTTTGATATATACGATGAATTAATTAATTTAAAACATGGTTTTTACTATAGAAATACCAGCTTAAACCATACCCTCCTGAAACCAAAAGTGATTAGCCTTTGTCGCCAGTATAAAGCCAGGCCAGCCTGCAAATCCCCCAGACACTTTGGGCGTGGAGCTCAAAACGCCTCTAAAATCCAAATTTGTCAATCCCAGCATTTGTACTGATCATGTAAATCAAAATAGCTTAATATAAGTCGTTTTGAAAAACAAATCATATTTCAACGTCTGTAATAATTCACAAGACAAAAATGTTAGCGGGAAAAAACGCACACCTACCGTCAAAATCACCATGTATTTTATTCCATTTTCAATATTTTCATATAATCCTTTTGCCAATCAATACAGAAGATATTATTCTTCACGATGATTGTCAATTTTAAACTTCAACATCAATAAAAACAACTAAACAGGCGAAATAAACACCAACCCCAGCTTGCCGTATTCAAATACGCCAGGCTTTGAATATTGGAACTAGGGATGTCATTGGGAGCCGAATTCATTATCCGGATATCCGGATCAGACATCCGAATACATCCGGATTTCCATTGGGAACCAACACATTACCGACTATAGCCTATAGACTATATGGCTCAGACTATAGCCAGATTGGTTATCATCTTCAAAGCGCGGCGCATTTGAATACGTAATATTGGATCCGTACTCACGGTGGTGAGGTGTAAGATATAAGTAATCCGTAAAGAAATTTGAACTTAAAACAAATTATTTTGACATTTCAAAAAATATTTTCACATATGATTTGTTTCTAGTTCTGTATAAATGGCAAGCGGGTGTTTTTATCATGTTGTAATAATGGATAGAGAACGTGTGGAATAGTGAAAACACGGGATAATAGCGCTAAATTAGAAATGACTTTAAGTGTTAATTGACTTCCATACAAAAAAATTTCAATTATTAAAAGTGTTTTAATTGTCCCCCCCCCCATTCAACCTTGGACAGAAATATGTCCCAATTCAACTAAATAGTATTCAAATATTTTTGGTGGCTGATTTGTGTCATTCGTTTTTTTGCCCCGCGACCTCGCCAAGCGAGAAGTCGAAAATTAACGCGGGGTGCGGGGGCGCATATCGAGATTTAAAAAATAAGACAGCGGGTCGTGGGACGAAAACACGTTAATTAGCAGAGGCGCAGGCGAAGTTTAATAAATAAAACTTTGCCGCACGCCCTCGCTTATTAGTGTATTTTCATCCTGCGACCCCGCCAAGCGAAAAGTCGAAAATTTAGAAGTTAAAATGACGGGGGGCACGGAGCAAAAACACGCTTATTAGCGAGAACGCGGGGCGAAGCTTAATAAATAAAACTTCGCCCCGTGGGGGCGCGGAGCGAGATTTAAGAAATAAAACAGCGGATCGCGGAACGAAAACACGCTTATTAGCGGGATCGCAGGCAAGGTTTATTAAATAAGTTAATTGGCGGGATCGCAGGCAAGGTTTAATAAATAAGTTTTATTTATTAAACCTTGCCTGCGATCCCGCTAATTAGCGTGTTTTCGTTCCGCTATCTCGCCAAGCGAAAAGTCGATAATTAACAGGCTTAAATGGCGGGTTCGCGGAGTGAAAACACGCTTATTTGCGGGGTCGCTTATTAGCGTGTTTTCGCTCCGTGCCCCGCCGTTTTATTTATTAAACATCGCCCCGCAATTACGCTAATTAGCGTGTTTTCGTCCCACGATCCCGCCATGTCGATAATTAACAAGTAAAAATGGCGGGGTCGCGGAGCAAAAACATGCTTATTAGCGGGGCGCAATTTAGCGTGTTTATGCTCCTCACCCCGCCGTTTTATTTATTATACTTCGCCCGCGCCCCCGCTGATTAGCGTGTTTTGGCTCCGCGCCCCCGCCATTACAACTTTCGCTTGGCGGGTTCGTGGGTCGAAAACACGAATGGCATAAATCTGCCACCATTAATATTTGAATCAACGGGCAAGCAAATTTAATTGTAATTCAATAAATGATTATGCAAAGTGCTATATTTCATCATTTTCGGTACTGTTTCTGAATTGTGATAAACATAATATTATGATGAAACAAATAGTCAAATATGACTCTCTTTTTTTAAATGGTGGATTAGTCTGGTAATTGTTATAGTAAGACAAGAGTAATTGTTTTGTTTAAGCGAAATACCGGAATGTTGAAAAGTGAAAGTTGGAGATTGTATTTTTGTGAGCACGTTTTATCGAGTTAAGTGTCGGTTAAAACGTAGAGCTGATTCCCCCACCTTTTCTAAGGATCAACATATGCGTTTTATACCGCAGCAACAACAACAACAATTGTGAAAAGAATATAATTTTGATGCTTATTTTTATACGAAATATACCACTATATAAATATTTCACTAAAATGAATTTTAACGAAGTAAACACTTTCTTATGTAACTCAGTATAATAATAGAGGCTAAATAATGCATCAACAAGTTCTTAAATATGACTGTGTAATTGTTTCACCCAATTAAATGTCATAATTATATTTACTTCGAATATATCATACTAATTGTTTACTTTGGGCGGCATTTAATGCAGGATGACCTTCTATAAATAACACTAAAAACGCCAACAAAGTGACCGGTCCGACATAGCCAAAACATATATGATCGTACAAATATCTATATTTAGAAAATATAATTGAATTCATATCTCTTAAATCATTTCAATGAACATATTAATAGTTCCGTAGGGCATGTATAAACTCATATTAACTGTACTGAACTTACTTTTGTGTTACGCTATTCGTGAATCGATGCATTAAAGATACATGTATCACACGTTTGAATAACGACAGCTGTTACATCGCCCACGGTGACATCCGCTTATAACGTTACTGCATACGTCGGATATTTGATACGGCCTACGCAAGGCAAGCGCATAGCAGCTTGTTTCTTTTAATTGAAATTTAATTTTTATTAATTATTTTATTGATATAGCAAAGAAATGGCTCGGAAAAGGGACTATTGTCATTATTTTATCTCATTTAATAAACGATAAAGTGATGTTTTGTAGTTAAATATAAGTTTGATTTAAATTTATTCCATAACGTTTAAATTTCATATAATGAAATAATGACTTGACTTTTTTAGACCGGTAATTCTTTCAAGTCTAAAACAAAACAAACAGATATCTTCACTAAAAAGATAACAGACTGTTTCCTTAATGCCAATTATTCTTATGATAATTGTTAAACGTTTATCAATCGCGCGTCATCATAAATTCTGTCAACTAGGCATGTAACTTAATTCGCTTACAGAATTCTAAGTAATCCATTTTTTTCAATATGTACAAAGTCACTTATATGACACACATGTAGTTTAGAGAACTTTTGTATTTCAACCAGAGTGTGCATTTCTTCTTTAGTGTTGATATCAATGAAAGATTAATAAAAAAATTGTCAAAGAACTTTATAATAAATACAAATGAACAAATTACATATGCATTCCTGAAAATAGTAACTTTTGGCTTTTGAATAAGGACTTCGAGCCCAAAAGTGAGAACACATCCACCTAATGTAAGTACATACTGGTAGTAGGCTACAACGTCACAAATTCAAACATATAAAAGTAAAATATGCCGTGCAACGACAAAACCAACATAGTGCGTTTGCGACCAGCATCGATCCAGTCCAGCCTGCGCATCCACGCAGTCTGATCAGTATCCATGCTGTTCGCTATCAGTTTCTCTACTTGTAACAGAGTTGGTAAGCGAACAGCATGGATCCTGATCAGACTACGCGGATGCGCAGGCTGGTCTGGATCCATGCTGGTCGCAAACGCCCTATGTTGGTTTTGTCGTGACGCGGCTCAAATATGCATAGTAATTAGTTGATTATTATGTTTTTGCATACCAAAAGTATTAACGACATGGTTGTATTAAGTTCGTTCTGATTGTGAGACATCTTATATCAATCATAATATGAACCAAATACGTTTCATTTACCACTAGATGTCCAGTATTTATATGTTACTTACTATAAATAACCCAAACACATTACGGCAGAATCACGTGACAGAACTACTTTCAATCATTCTATTTACCGAGATTATTGTACGTTATCGGCCAAGTGTTCCGAATGACATTTGTTATGATATTATATAATCGAGGTAGGCCGTACTGTTCGACGTAAGCAATTTGTTTTCAATAAATTGACCGCAGTGTTTTGACAACTTTTATATGTCAAACGTTACGTATCTAACGGACAGCTTTATATTATATCACATGCAGATACAGATTTAATTAACGTTCAAATTAAATTATGTGTTCATGAAAATGAAACGGATATCTCAAATTTGAATTTTTAAACTACAATGTCGAAGTTTCACGCTAATTCCGAGAGGATTGTGAAACTTAACGTTGGTGGAACATTTTACTCGTCCACGAAATCAACATTAACAAAAGTAAGATTATAGGTTGAATGTATTTTGGTGAAATTCGTTCTTTTATAAATGACTGTATAGAAAAAATGATGATAACTTAATAATATAGAAAGAGGAAATTGTATTGCAGTTCATCAATGCTTTGGATTAGTTAATTTAGGTTTTCACATGTGATATATAGTATTGTTTGGTTTTATTAACCTGTCAATTACATACTGATTACACGGTCGATGCACACATTATTTTAATCTTCGGTAGATTTTCGGTAAGTTCCGTGTGATGTACGCTTCACGATGGAATTCAATTAAATTTGTATCTCTTAACAAGGTGTACTAAGCGTTAAAGCGCAATAGGGTAAAGCAAGAGTTTATAATCTAAGTACCACACGTGTTTTAAGTTCGAGACCGCGTTGGTCCATGTTTTTTTCTTATTAATACGTTCAACATTATTGAAGCTATATATGATTATTTTATGTTGTTCGTTTTGTTTTATTATGTTTTACTTAATTTTGTTAAGTCTATACTCTTTTTAAATAACATGCTTTAAGAATTCATATTTAAAATTAAAACGGATTAAAATCAATAAATGCCTTTTCAATGCCGTAAAACACACAACAAATCTGTTCCTTTAAAATATACTGCAAAAATAAATAAAGGCCAACAGTAAGGATCGAACCACAGACCTCTCAATTATCAGGCATTCTCTTTACCGACTGTCCTATTGTGAATTAACGAAAACCTTCACTTTAAGCTGGCGTGACTTTCAAAACATGACTAATATACTCCACATTAATTCTCGTAAACTACACGGACCAAACCGAAGTGGGATCGAATATTTAAATGAGTCCTATAATGTATTCATAATTGACAGGTCAATAAAATCAGACTATATCATTAAATATATGCAAAACGTGTCTACTGTTATTAGTAACAAGATAACAATGAAGTTCAATTAAAGGGCGTTTTATTTCTGTATTATACGTGTTTTAAAGAAACATTATGCATCATACTCGGAAACGAATTTTCCTTCAAACATAATTTTCAAATCGTTTACATAATTGTGTTAGAGCATTTTATATTTTTTTTTTTTTTTTGGCAGAAAGAAGCGCTAGTTTAAAATATGAATATATTCGTCATAAAATTAGCAAAAATGTAAACAAAGTAGTATTTTAACTCTCATACAAGTTACTGAGTCATTTTACTATACTAATTGACAGAAAACAACAAAAACAAAAGATGTTCAATGAACACCAAAGAAAAAGATAAAACGCTTTTGAGAAATAAAAATATAAACAACTTTTGGCCATAGTGGTCATTTGAGGAAATGGGAAATTAAATGACAGCAAAGGTAATCTAGATAAGTTTTATAATTTACTTTTTAGGTAGCTGACAGTTATTTGGGTCGGTTGATGAATGGAGATCTTCCGTGTACAAGGGACGAAAAAGGGAGCTTTTTCATAGACAGAGATGGGCAAGTTTTCAGGTAATTCTCGGTTATTTAATAAAATGTCTAAATGTTTGTTTTTCTGTTGAAGTGATTTTGGCCGTATTTCTTTTTAAACGTTCCATAATTATAGATATTTACAGAAATCTTAACTCCAGAACTAATTTTACTACACGGACACCTGTTGAATAATAAAGTTGACCTGTTCATGACTTTAAGTGAATCAAAGGCTGTCATCTTAAGTCTTCTTCCTCTTCATTTAGATAATGTAAGTCTAAATCAAAATTGCCTCAATCGTTTCTCTGTGTCTATAAATTAATGAAAATAGAGAAATGCGTTAGCCCTGAAATTTTAAACCTGATTAGATACTGCTTATATGGTGCATTTGTAAATGATAAGTCTAAACTGAATTTTGTCATAGTCAGATATTTTTCATCATATGTACCTCAATATGTATCCTGCAAAATGTTAAATAATCGATCCGTTAAATATTGCAAAATGTATTTTTCTTTCTCGCAGACACATACTTAACTACCTTAGAAGCGATCGGCTGACGACTCCTTTTGGATTTCGTGATCTTAAGTTGTTAAAAGTCGAAGCAGATTACTACGGACTTCCTGGTCTTGTACAGGAAGTAGATCTCGTGCTGAACTCGCGCAGACGTAATAGACGCAGACGACAACGTAACAAGACAACAAGCCAAAGCGTTACGGAACTACATCGAGTGCACGAGAGGAATGGAGATCTTTACATATCTGACGAGGATTCTGATTGGTTCTATGACTAGAGCTACATACGGGCACTTTTCTGCCAATATTTTTTGGTAACGGGGGTAATTAAAATCATTACAGCGTTCACATGTGCGCACGTTTTTAGAATAAGTGAATTTGGCAAGTTGTTTACTTGCCTATTTCTATTCCTCAGCCTGTTCAGGACGTTCATTTCGGCCACTTATTTTGAAGACCATGAATCACAGAAAAGGAAATGACTCTGCGATTTCATTTCATAACTTCGTGCCTGTAATGCTTAAAATCGCTGGAGTCACAGAAACAATTCAAGTAACAACTGTACATCGACTGTACATTCTTCAAGTATGATAAAACTGTTACAGCTATGGAATACTCGTAATACTTAACACATATATTAAAGGGAACGCCATTCGAAAATTCATTTGGAGCAATTGTGATTATGGGTGTCGATGGTTTTTATTTCGCTTTTTTCGACAATCTAATTGCTACCAAATGTTAACTTACGTATATACATGTACATGTATATATAATATAGATGGTTTATGTATTTTGTTAAGATGTAACATGCACTGGAGGAAACAGTCATTCTTTATTGATCTGTGTGACACATGGTTGGATAATAAACTTCTCATGTTGAATAAGGCCGTCACAAGAAATAATCTTGCTTACATTGGAGGCAACCTGTTACCACATATGATTTCATCATCTAAGTTAATAGAAGAAATGTGATTCGTAGGATCAATAAAGTGAACGATCTTCACCAGCTTATTATTAAGGTTATTTTGACAAATGTGTTGTCAACTGTGCTTCTTGGTCTCTCAGGCTACTACATACTGTATTTGAGCCGCATCACGACAAAACCAACATAATGGGTTTGCGACCAGCATGAATCCAGACCAGCCTGCGCATCCGCGCAGTCTGATCAGGATCCATGCTGTTCGCTTACAAACCCTATAACAAGTAGAGAAACTGATAGCGAACAGCATGGATCCTGATCAGACTGCGCGGATGTTATTATGTTGGTTATTATTATGTTGGTTTTGTCATGGCGCGGCTCATTTTATAAACATCAATCGCCCATATGACCAGGAGTAACTGTTTACAAAGTTTCAAAAGTAGGCTGTTTCAGAGGCCACCCTATTGCCTCGCTAATTGCCTCACAGGTTAAAGAAAGTATTTCCAACGTCAGTCAAATATTTGGATTTATCAATATTTTTATGTTTTGAAGTAATTTTCCTGATGAATATTTTTCTTTCCCGATGAAAAAAATGTTTATAGTTATTTGATAAAAATATTTCGTTTAATTAATGAAGTGTACACATTTGTTTGTAGTGCCTTTATGTGTTGAAACGACACTAAATGTCGCATTTGCTTCTAAATGTCGCGCTATTGTCGCTAAATGTCACAAACTGTTCTAAATGTCTTAAAATATTTTGCCGCCAAATGTTGCAATGATGATGTTAACATCGCACCATTTTCTTAATGGGGATAAGCTTTTCTCTTTCTCGTTAAAGAAGGGTAATCCTGTAATGCTGTGCGGTAACAAGGTCACTTTCCTTATAACATGTCCTCGATGAATGTATGTGGTCGAAAATCTCAAATGAAATGACGTTTTAAAAAGTTTTTTGGTAGATATTATCTGCTGCAAAATCTTAAATATTGTTTAACTCATGATTAGGAGTTATAAAAGCCTAATTAGGACATTGACACTCCTAAATAGGATACTCCTAAATAGGAGAGCTAAAACACTTATTAGAACTTTGTCACTCCCAGTTATAATTAGTAAGTTACTCAAAATTATGAAATATAAACCTAATTACAACTTTATGACTTTTATGACTTTTAAAAACATCACTAGGAGAAATTTAAGGACAGAAGATTTAGCGGAAAGTGTGACATTTGGCGGAAAGTGTGACATTTAGCGGCAAGTGTGACATTCAGCGGCAAGTGTGACATTTAGCGGCAAGTGCGACATAAAACTTTCCAGTTTTTGAAGAAATATAATGAATGGAATTGAATAATAGTCAATTGTTAAAGTGACAACTATATACATTGTTGTTACAGGTATGAAAATATCAAAGATATATTTGAATCTTTACATGTATCATACCATCATAGAAATAAAAACGAATCAGAAAGTACTGAATGTTTTCATTTGGTGTTTTTTCTCTCTTTGTTCCTCTTCTTGTGGTGTTTGAATCACCTATTTTTGTATTTTTTGTTGTTGTTGTTGCTGCTGCTGCCGTTATAGCTGCTGATGTTGTTGATAGGACAATAACTGAAATAGTTGACTAACTGGAAACAATATTCATGAATAGATAAGTTTATACTTATTGTACAGTAGAGTTATTTCTTGCCACTGACGTGTCGGCCATATTCTCCGTGTCAGTTAAAATATGTTACTCATTGCCAGAAAAAAATAAGGTCACTGTCTTTTGAATTTTGACCGCAATTAATATGCTATGTAAGCTAGAATCCTGCTGGACTACTGTCAGCTAGCTATCCATTCAAATTACGGGCCGTCAATGATTCTACCCAGTCATTCCGAAACATAAAAACGTCATTTAACATATAAATAACACGAGGATGAGCTATTCAATCCTTTTTCCGGGTGCTTGCTGAAATAAATCATTTTTAGTAGTATTTACTGCAAATCAATCCTTTGTTTTTTGTGTAAAATCAAAAATTTTAATTCCTGTACTAAGATGTGAACAATCTAACCCTTCGTTTTTTTATACTGATCACTTGTCTCTTTATCTGTCTTCCATAGTTGTCCTGAAGCGTTAACAAGTTGAGCCGCGTCACGACAAAACCAACATTTTTTTGCGACCAGCATTGATCCAGACCAGCCTGCTATTACAACTAGAGAATCTGATAGCAAACAGCATGGATGCTGATCAGACTGCGCGAATGCGCAGGCTGGTCTGGATCCATGCTAGTCGCAAACGCATTACGTTGGTTTTTCGTGACGCGGCTCATTTGTGTTTCCGGGTAGTGCATAGATACAATAGTTTCAGAGGCAACACTGGTTGTTTAAAATTCCCGTTGTAGAAAACAGCACATAAAACCTTGTTTTTATTTCCAATTATTACCAATTACACACATGTAATACATTATTGTTATTGTCGAAACGGTTGATCGGACGTACGACCGCTGGTTTACCAGGAAAGCTGGAACACGGATCTGCTTGAAGCTGGGGTAAAAATTGTATATAAACTTTTATTTATACGGTTCCTACGAGATATATGTTCTACAATGCCACTCCACTGCAGGCAAAAATAAACCTAGTCTTCAAGACTTTAAGACTACATTCGTATAATTTGTTACTGAAAAAAGATATCGAAACATGCTTAGCAAAATAATTGCATGTAATTTTACTCAAAAAATCATATTGACCAAAATCTTTTTCAAATCTGTAATACACAATACAAAACAGGGGAAAAACAAGTTCAAATTTTCTAAAGTTTATTTCCTTTTAAAACTCATGGAGTACATTGTTTATACAAAACATTTAAATATTACTATCGAAAACAGTATGTGAATATACATTATTGTAACTTCACGTAAGTGACAGACTATATGAGCCGCGTCACGACAAAACCAACATAATGGGTTTGCGACCAGCATGGATCCAGACCAGCCTGCGCATCCGCGCAGTCTGATCAGGATCCATGCTGTTCGCTATCAGTTTCTCTACTTGTTATAGAATTTGTAAGCGAACAGCATGGATCCTGATCAGACTGCGCGGATGCGCAGGCTGGTCTGGATCCATGCTGGTCGCAAACCCGTTATGTTTCACGTAAGTGACAGACTCTATATATATCCATACTCTCTTCCTTTAGCCTTTGATACAATAAAATACAATACAACGACCAGAACTATCATCACACCTAGAGCTATCCCCACGGCCATTGCGGCCACTAAGTCACTTTCTGGCACCGGTGCCGTGTCAGAATTACATAGCTGTATGTCTGAAAAAGAATAATAATAAAATTAGTTCTTATTTAATTATAGTACAGCTCATTCTGTCAAGTAGTATTATTCTGGATAAAAACTAAGCACACCTAGATGTGACCATCGGGTCCGGTTCCTGGCATAAGCAGAACTTTGAAGAAACATGGTCGTGTCCTAAAAAGGTACGCATACCTATGATATGTCTGAATTGAGAGCATTAAAATACTTAATACAAAAATCTTCTTAAGAGTCACCTTTAAAACAAATATAATTGCTTCCACATATACCCATTACATTTTTTGTATATATCTTAAAGCTGCATGCCTCCAGATGAGCCAAAATATTTCAAGGAAAATTAAATTGAGAAAAAAAGTTCTAAGATTGATTTTAAGAACATTAGAAATATTCAAGATTCAAATAATAATGTACATTTTATTTGCTTTAAATGACTGATTTTGCAGAATTTATTACCATATTTCTACTGCGTTACTAACGCAGTAAGGGCTAATTTGAAATTAGTAATTTTGCATAATTTGACCTATTTTCAGTAATTTATGTGAATTGTAAGTGTCGTTTGCAATGTGTAGAATTACATTGTACTCTCCTTGTTATTTCACAACATTTTACTTTTTAAGTACGTTTTCAAAATTTTCATGAACATAAGCATTAATCTGGAGGCGTGCTGCTTTAATTCATATCGCCATAACCTTGTACGAATACTGAAATATAAGTTTATGATTAAATGTGTTAGCTTAATTTAAAAAGCAATATTAGCGACAGGTCAGGAAAAGATCTATAAACATTTCAACCACTTACTTTTATTAGAAAACCACGTGTTGTTATCATTTCCGAAAGCTCTATACTGAAGATCGTAAACATTCATTGTAATGTTTTCATTTAGCGCCAAATTTTCCTGACCTTGACATTGGTATGATGACTTGAGGGGTGCATGATTAGTTCCATTTGGCAGCGTTGTGATAATCGAGTGAAAACTGTTCACTGAAGACGAAACGATAAATCACTCATTTGAATATCAAAATGTTATCACTATTTGATTATTTAATCATTATTCCTAGTTGTAAAAAACGTTTATTTTTTAATATTCGATTAACTCTACCGAATGCCTTTTATGGAACTCGACATGTAAAAATTGTTAAATGGTATTGTCATGAATATTTCTGATACAACAGGCCAATGCCTCGTTTAGTTTAGTGCATATTATCATTTCTTTATCAAAGTTATTTTATTACCTGAGGATGAAGAAATGTTTGGAAACCATTTTGAACTTTTAACTAAATCCAATCTAATGGTGTCCATTTGATAGGTGCTTTTTGTTATTGAGGAATTCGTGAAAGTGAAAGTCAGACTCCAAGAGTCGTTGAAATACACGTTTAAAATGTTTGTAACTGGGCCACATGTCCCGTTCACATACGGATTGCTTGGAATTACCATTGTCAAAGAATGGTTCTGAAAAAAGAAGAAACGCTTCAATCAATAAAGCATTTATGGGGAAGGAAAAGTTCGCCAAATCAAGCGTTGTCAGGGTAAGGAGCAAAACCCAAAGCTCTCCATAAGAATTAGATACGGAACATGACGGATTTTGGCGGAATGACACGATAAAACTAACTAATCAGATCTTTCATTCGGTTGTATTAGACATTGTTCGTCTAATGATAATATTTGTTTAAAAATGACTAAGAAATCAAAGCTTATTAACACTTCTAATAGAATTTCTATAAGTAAACTGTATCTTTTTTTAAAAGATACTTATAATTATTGATCAAATTCGAGCTATATGCTGATAAACATTGGTTTCATCAAAATAAATAGAAAGAGCAAACAAATGATGTTCCAGCATCATCTTTCGACGGCACCATAAAACAGGTTACTCTTCCAGATATCAGAAATTTGTCTTTTTGTACAAGGAAAAGCACCTTACCCACGAAGATTTAGTTGTCTTTTTTTTCGAAAATTCGTTTCAGTTTTAAATCTTTAAGTCTAAGAGGATCACAACAAAATACCTTAGCATCTATGCCTTTGTACGGAATGACCAGCTCCAGGCCCGCTGTCATGACAAGACACGTGACGCCAGCATTTGTTAAGGTATAATTATTTCTAGGAGGCTGGGTTGATGTCGGCGTTATATATAAAACATGAGAAACACATAAATCTGAAATTAAAATAAGAATTCTTCCTCCAATACATTAAAAACATAAATACACCCAATGTATACAAATGTTCCTACTCCCTTTTTTACCCAATATATACTCAGTTGCAAAAGAAAGTGTGCACTTCGTAGTCGTTGCATTTTGCATACTTATTTAAGCAAAATATTGGTATATTTGGTATAAAGGACACCCAATATACACATACACCAAATATATATTTACTCCCATATACACTCAATATACATGTATACCAATATCCATATACACCCAATATAAACCTACACCCATATACACCAAATATATACTCACCCACATGCACCAAATATATACCAATATCGATATATAATCAATATATACCGGTACCAATATCCATGTATACCCAACATATACCTACATCCATATACGTCTGACTTTCAAAAAAAACAAAGGCTTTACAATATTTTGTTTTTAGTATACTTAGTTGACGGCTTTTGATTAATTAAACCAACCATTATTCACGTGCATGATTGCAGTCGGTGTGATATTCTTATTACAAATTCCTATATAAAAAAGAGTTATAGCCCCTGATATATATAACATTGTATATATTATACATGTTCGGGTAAAACAATCTACATCCGTTTACTAACTTAAAGTTAAAATAATATTATATTCTCTACATGTATTTGTATATCCACTTATATTCATGTAGCAATTATCGTTCATATGTAACCATATAGACTAATATTCTTGTACTAGAAAATGAATGGTCACCTAATTAATGATTAAAATAAACTTACATGAACACAGCAGATTGAGTATTAACAGTTTCATCATCCAATGTTTGAAGAATTACATTAATTTCAAACTTCAACAATTGATGTCATTTCCGTACGCGAGTTGCGTTCATAAACTTTTGATCACTTGAATAAATAAAAAAACTATTTGCTAAAGAAAACGTATTTTCATTTTTCAGTCTCACGTGGTTTAAATTTTAGACTGTACAAATGGCGTTCAATGTTTAAGGTCATGTTTGAACATAAAGGCATGGTGATAACGGTTGTCGGTTAATGTTTGAGGCTTATTTGAGATAAAAGTCTCTTTCAAAATGATTACAGCATTTATAATTCGTCCATGGATATGACCTAAATTTAATCATAGATGTAAACTTATCAGCAAGTATTATTTATTTATGTCCAGTTAAATTAAACTAATCAAAATAACATTAATACTTGTTTCAGTGTACTAATTAAATTCAAACCAAATAGCATCTTTTCGGCTCTTTCCGTCAAACTTCGGATAATATGAATAATAACCGAGATGACCCCATTGGCTCAAAGCAGACACAGTCATGCCCACAATACATTCCCTGTTCGTTATCCATCCTTTGTGTTGTGTTAATATGCGTGCGTCCGTACGCGGGGCGCCCGTGCATTTTTCGGATCCCCAGGGCCCAAAACCTTTAACTTTTTATCAGTTATGTAACATTTTTTAATAAATCTGGTATCCGACAAAGGGCGTGCGTGTGGCCCAAAATATTTTATAAAAATAAAATATTTCCCTACAAAACCTTTTTCTAATGTCGTTTAATAAATAAAATACATGTAATTATATCACACAAGAAATTTAAAAAAGTCACTTTTTTTGGGTTTTTTAATTAAAATTTTTCCCCAAAGATCTTTTTCCCAAAAAAAAAATAGGAAGAAAAAAACGGGAAATGTCACTGGTTTTTTTGGGCCCGAAACGAATGAAATGTTTTTAAAATTTTTTAGGGTTATTTAAAAAAATTTAAATTTTCCTTGAGAAGATGTATTTTATTTTTAATTACCGAAGTTGAGTCGATTAGTGTTTTGGGCAAAAAACGCATTTTTTACAAGAAATATGGGTTTTGTAGATAAAAATTTTTTAGAGTTTTTTCCCCCTTGAATGATGTACCCATTTACAGGGCATTTTTTTTCCCTTTGTTTTTCGTTTTTTTTTCCCAAATTTTGCTCGTCGGGATTTAAAACAAATTTGCCCCTGGCGGGAAAAATAAATGGGGTTTTATCAGTTTTTAATAAAATTTTTACATGCTTTTTAAAATTAGATAAAAATTAGTTTGTTTTTAAAAAATTTTTGGTGGCCCTTTAGTAAAAATTCTTAAAAAATATTACTCCTGTATTCAACACATTACCAAAGGCTGTCAAATACTATTCTTTCCTAGGAATTCCACTTGAAATCAATAAGAATGATTGCTGTCCGTTCCAACAGGTCTGTGATTTAACACAAGTTAAGTTGTCCCTCTCATCAGATTATGCAGATATAACCTTATAAATTAAGCGTGATCGGTTTGATCCATTACTTAATTAATGAGCCGCGTCACAACAAAACCAACATAATGGGTTTGCGACCAGCATCGATCCGGACCAGCCTGCGCATCCGCGCAGTCTGATCAGGATCCATGCTGTTTTCGCTATCAGTATCTCTACTTGTTATAGGGTTTGTAAGCGAACAGCATGGATCCTGATCAGACTGCGCGGATGTGCAGGCTTTGGTCTGGAATCCATGCTGGTCGCAAACGCACTATGTTGGTTTTTTGTTCGTGACGCGGCTCATATCGTGGCACGAGGCGTCACAATTAATAAATTAACAGTGAATTCCCCTTCTAAGGGAATCCAAAGGCCCTTGTTGAATTGCGAGAGCGCGCGCAACTTTTAAGATTCTCTAGTTGACTATTAATGAAATTTGATTTTAAAACCAATTTTTCTTCTTTTACTTTTGGAAAAACCCTATCATTTCTTTTAAAACCCCGTTTAATGATTTTCCATCTTCCCCCCTTTTTTCTTGGGCTAAAAGTTTAATAATTTTTTAATTTTTTAAAAAAGATAATTTTTGGGTAATAAAAGCCACTGATTTTGCTTTTTAACTTTTAAATTCTTAAAAAAAATTTTTTTTGTTAAATTAAAAGGTTTAAATGAGGAAAACCCTTTCCCTTTCCGGGTTTTATGTTTAAACCGTTTTGAAAACTTTCCCCCGGTCAGGTATTGGGGGTATTTTTCCTGAACGGGGTACGAATAAGGATGAAATTTTTTTTCACTTTAAACAATAAAAATATGTTTTAACAGTCGATGAGAAGGATTAAACCCAATTTTTAAAGTTTACTCCCGGAATCCCAAAGTACATGTATCTATCCAGCGTTTAAAGTGAAAATAGAATATCCTGTATAAAGTTTCCGTTCACACAAGATTTCACGAAAAAATATCTGACGCTTTATATTTATGATCTCTATCCTTATAAAGATCTGCTATTTTAATACTAAATATAATTCGAAAGTGAATGTGATAAAATAAGATAAAGGTGATTAAACTGTAAGCCAGGTAAGGTAACTTAAACCCAACAATGGTTACAACCCGGATATATTAGTGGTTTTGATCAGGCAATCAAGGTGCGGAGTTTCAGGTATAATATTTTGAATAGGGAAATAGGAATTTACTAGGATTTTTAAGGGGTTGTAGTCCAGATTTAGTGGGAGTTGAAATTTAATTCAAAAACCTTTGGTGGCAGCCTTTTATATGGAAAGCAGATTTAATATTTATAATAACGTTCTTAACTTTTTGAGCTACTGTAGCAGAGTTATATCACCATTGTCACTTTGTAAAGTGACTTAATCTAACCTACATTAATAAAACAGGTTTATATATAGATAAATCACCATTGTTTTATACTCACTATGGTTATATAGCCAACATGATTATATGACTAACAAGGTTATAGAGCAATCTTGGTTATAAGGCCTGGACAGCCTTGACATTTGTGGCAGTTTGGACTAGACCCATTTGGTGGCTAAGGTAATTTTTCTATATAAGACCCAGTTTTTCTATATCAAACAACGGATTGCGGAAACTATGTTAATTACACAAAGTAGGGTAATGGATAAACAAGGCATTAAACTTATTTATACAATTGTAAAATCAAATCAACTCAGAAACGAAACATTACTTAGATGTTAGATTCTCAATTTAAAATGCAAAAAGTTAAAAATTATGTTTATTACATTGTTTTGCGAAATATAATCGACTTTATTGATATACTGTAATAAGAGTCCAAAAATATCTATTATAAGCTATCCGGTTTTATTGAAAATACGCCATCGATTAAGAATTTAGCTGTTTTTTTTTATCAACAATATTCATTTTTTTTTTACTTTTAAGGGGAATACAGCAGCCTCTAGATCTGGAAGTTGACGCAACGACTTTCAGATCTGGAAAACGACGCAGCGACCTTCAGATCCGGAAAACGACGCAGCGAAAACCTTATGAGATTCTGGAAAACGCGCAAGGACCTTTAAAATGTGGAAACTGTGCGTAATATTGTACAGTAAAAACTATGTATTTACTGGAAAGATATAATCCACAATTACCAGCCGTTGTTCAGAAATCCATTAAAATGTATTTAAGAAGATAAGTAGATCATAACCCATGATTAACTTTAAAGTGTATGTTTATCCGATACATTAGAAAGACCTTCTTTCACAACTAGTGTATTCTTAGTGCTGTGGTGGAATTGTTTTGTGTCTCACCTTCAGACAAAAATTCAAAATGTTTGGAATAGTGCTGACCATTGCTGTGTTTGGTTTATCTGTGGTCATTAACAACGCAGGAATTGGGGTTACAGCACTTCCGGCCTGTGACAGGTAAGGTAAAATAAAATTTATGTTTATCAACAACGTGTTTCGTATTAATAACAAACATGTGTTTAATGTGTGTTTATGGACCTTTTTGTTAATATTAAATTAGTTTTTGTAAGAGATGATTATGTGTTTCGTCGATGGTCTATGTTGTTCATTTTATGAAAAATAGTTATAGGCACTAATAAGAAAAAAAAATTGATAAACCCTCAAAGGAGCGGCGTATGAGCGACTGTGCAGTTTTTAGACGTTTTATTTTTTTCTAATTTTAGCGTCTGGGACTACTCAGTCCTTGACATTCTCTTCATACGTACATGCTTTGTTTTTCCTAATAAGATAGGCGCGACGTTAAACTGAACGGTAAAATAAACCGTGTTGAAGACAGTTTATTTAGGATATAGAGACAGATTTTTTCCCAATTTAAACCTTCTCATTGGTTGAGAAATTAGGGCAAAGAATAAAAATACCTTTCTATTTGTCTTATAAACTTCTACCAGACACGGGGACAAAATGCTCCCGCGTTACGTTACGTTGTAGAATCGAACGTCCTACAACCAGTAGCCTACTTGACCGTCTAAAATGTTTAGCGAATTTCAATTGGGTCCTATAAAGTCTATATAAGTAACTAAAAAGATAATTACCATGTATCATTTGTCAAAGCTCGTAAGAAAATAATGTTTTCGCATATAGTAACAAATTGTGATTGGGTCTGACAAAAAGACAAGATTTGATCATTATACGAGATATATTCGACACTAGCTTTGCAATATTTATATCACCAAGGCTTTCATACGATCGGTATACATGTATAAACATTGGCTTATAGGAAAGGCTTTACGATACGATCATATCTGTGGAAATTAAATAAAATCACACGATTTATTATTTGAAATGTTAAATGCCTCGGATACTAAAATTAAAAATGTTTTAGTTCGAATCACGTCCTTGAAAAAAAAAGTTGTTAAATTGATTCATATTAGGGACATTGAATTCATTTTAAAGTAAATCAGTTGGGGCTGAAATTTTGGGCACTTTCCCTTTTTAAAAGTATTTCTTTTTAAATAATGAAGGGCCCTATCAAAGAAAAAAACCAAAATATGCGTTTGCGAACCCCAAAAAGGATCCAGGGCCCAGGCCCCCGCCCCCCCCCGCACCGGGTTTTTGAAACCCGGAAACCCCTGGGTGTTTCGCTTTTTCCAAAAATATTAAAAATTAAAAAGGGGAAACCCGATAGGAAAAAGCATGGAAACCGACTTTCGGGGAAAGCGCAGGCTGGTCTTTGGGTCCATGCTGGTCGCATACACAAATTTTTTGGGTTTTGGGCGGACGCGGTTTATATAAAAGTAAATTTAGGGTCAACTTTTTCAATAAAAAAATGAAAATAATATCCCCCCCTTTAAACCCCGCACTGTACATGAGCAGAAAACAATTAAATTCCCAATAAAAAAAGAATCTGTGTTGCAATGATTTTTTTGCATGGGCCCGGAATTACAAAATCAGTATTTCTTTAATTAAAATAACAAACATTCATGTTTTCCCTTTTAAAAACATTTTTTTTTGGGAGTAATATTCTTTACTATAGACAGCAGATTTATAACGTTATACACTGTTAAAATAAAAGTGGCATGTAAACATGTAAAAATATTTTTTTCTTCATATTTTCTTATGTATAATGCTAGTCAAAGTATTCAAAGGCCATGGTTTTTTTATAAAAAATTAAAGAATGGTTGGTCTTCCTAGCTTAAAGCCAAGCTTTACAGCATTGGTTTCTCCTTGCACTTTGCTCCTGCCAAAACACCTTACTTTTACAAAAAAAGCACCTTGCTTTGATGACTTTGCTTATACCAAAAAGCACCTTTCTTCTGCCAAATTACATTGCTTTTCCCAAAAGTCAGCATGCTCCAAATCAAACCCTCTGGAAGATTGGTGTTCTTCTATAACGTTGACCCTTGCTTAAGCCATGTTTCACTAGCTTTGCCAACAGTATAAACAAATGCCATTTTGCAACATTGTTAGTGGCCTGGAGAGTAAGCGATTGTAAGTAGCATTTGATTGCCTCAAGTTCATGGCCTTCTTGCCCCAGACATTGTCCAAGTAGATTTAGGGCAGTCTCGCGATGTCCTGCATACACTATGTTGTGCACTTTGTACTGAAAATTAATGAGGGCATTGGTAAGGTGTTCATTCTTTTTCAGATCTTTTGCTACTTTATATTGTAAGAAATACATGTAGTATTCAGAGTCAACCACTGCCCAGTCCATCCATTTATATCTCAGGCCTCTATGCGATTTTTTCGGTCACATTAATCCGATACTTTCAAAATAGCTTTCTTTTGAGCGCCATTTGTTCATAATTTGGTAAAAAAAATTTGATGAAATGTTCCTGCAAAAGGTTGAACTCTCCAAATATTTACCCGCTCTTTGAAAAATGCGCCGGCCATTTTTCGCCTCCATGTGACCTCCATGAACAGACACATATTTATTCAAGCGGGCGGTAATGGAAGAAATCTTTCAAGGGATTGAGTGTCTTTTTGTAACGTCTCCAACAGAATACGTACAACGCAATTTTCAAAAACGGGACTTTGACAAGTGCCAATCAGGGAACCATTCCTCCCGAAATCCAGAAACAGGGTTCAATACGAAATGGGCCCCCCATAAACGCAAATTTGGAAGATGATTTGCGTTGCAACTTAGTGCATAAAAATGCCTGCAATCCCTTATTGGAAAAAATATTTGGCTTTATTTGGCTCTCCTCAGAGTTGTTTAAACGGCTCAAGAATAGAGATAAATGCTGTAGTAAAAATGGAAGATCAACACCTGTCAAAAGCGTATGATGTAAGGTGTAAAGCTTACTGGTAAAGTCCAAAAGAAGTTGTCTAGAAATTTCATGTTCAGTCATAGCTTTAGAAGGATTGTTAATTCCAGCTTCCCCATCTGTTAGTTTGTATTCTAGTCTGTATGGTAGTTTGTCCGTTTCAATCATTAAAAGTCCACAAAGAAACTTTTCAAAGTCTAGCATGTCTTCTAGTTTATTAAGGAAAAATCTGTTTGTTTCACTGGCTAAGATACCTGCCATCAGGTTGTTTCCAGGAATTATGAAATGTGGACAGTTTTCCGCTTTTATATACTTGCATAAAATGAAAAGGTAGTATTGCAGGCAAAATAATATATTTATATCCGTCCAGAAAGCAGGCACTTTGTCCCGTACACAGTAGAACAGTACTGTTTTACACATGTAGTTTGTAATGAAGTTTTGTGTTTGTGGACCAATGTTGCTCTTCAGAAGCATTTTCATCAACACATAACATCGAATTTGAGTGATGTTTAATGTTCTAATGAGGTATCTGTCTGCTTCTTGAGTAGATATTCTCCATTCGACATCTTTATTGTCACTGTTTTCACTTGCTATCGGAACTACGAAGCTGGGGTCAGTATCTCGAAGCTATCGTTAGCATAACGACATGTCGTAAGCCTCTTCGTTTAAGGTTTTTTAACGGTATCTCGAAACTTTTTCGTAATTAACGAATAATCGTTAAAATGCCACAAATTATTAACGGTTGCGTTGAATGTGTCGTATAGTTCTCGTTTACTAATCCACTTTTTGGCCAGAAAAAGAAGAAATACTTCGAATTTAAAAATACACAAAAAAATGAGAAATAATATCACTTTTATTTGATAAAAATGAATTGAACCTTACCATAAATATGATATTTTATTTCTTTTTTTCTCAAAATATCAAAACATATGTAAGAGCTCCCTTTAAGTTTTAACATTGAAAAAGACTGTATATTTAAATGCAGAATGAAAAAAAAAATCATATAATAACTGAAAGCATCGAAATGTTGTAATTTTGCACAAGAACAATAATAAATAAATATTTTGCATGTTACAAATGTTTTTTAAAAATGTAACAAAATTCGGTACTTTTTTACAGAATTATATTTTCGAAAATTACCTGTGATTAATGATTTATGACATGAAGAAAAATGCATTACGTTATACGCTGAAAAAATCAGAACAACAGATAGGCCATGGAAATATATGGATATTTTGTTTGTTTTAACGTAACAGATTGAAATTATTTTGCTCTTGCCAACACCAGGCTGTTTATATTTTTACTTGCATATATTTAAAAATTTGTAATACATAATCCTTTCTTAATCCTTTGTTAAAGACAAAATGAACATTTATTCATAAAATTAACAGAAATAATTTAAAAAAATCTGGAAAACAAAGTTGATCCCTCGGATTGCATTAAAATCACAAAACAAAATTACAAAGAAGAACTGTTGACTCGGTTTTGATTGAGTCTGTTACATGAGGGAAATGAATAATTGCAATATCCCTCACGCCCCCTTAAGCACCGGCTTGAGGCGGTACTCAATTCTCAACACTTAAATAGTGCTGGCATCAATTGATCCCGAAGGACCAGAAAAATAAAACACTGGGAAGTGAACTTAGTGAATATCCACTGAAAATAATATTTTTTAATATTAGACAGGTTGGCGTGACCTTTATATAAACGGTTGTTTGTAAATTAATAACCCCGAGCCCCGTCAAGGCCCGAAGCTGTTTACTATTGGCCAAACAACCGTTTATAATACGGCCATATAACTTGTCAGGAATATTTATAAACGAATTTTATTAAAAAGCTTCGAAATCGGGAAGTTCTATTTTAAAGAAAGTAAATTAAGATTTCCAGCTCAGTGAAAATAATAATGGAAATTTATCATGTTTTCGTGAAACATATTTCTATATTTCACTCAAACGAAAAACATTCTTAATATTTCTTTAAAACTTAACCCATCCTCGCTGTCGTCGTTCTGTTATTCATCAATCAAAATTATCATAGAAATAAGCATTTGTCCACTATATCACGATCGTTTTTTTTTAACATAAGAAAAAAGGGAATTCTAGGAGTTAATTATGGTGAATTAGCGTTTACATTGTATAACTAAGCCGAGTTATGGACTAACTTGAATCCTTATTTTTGTCCTGATTATGTGTT